CATTGGTTGAAAAATATTAAATATTTATTTTCAAAGAATTATTAACTGGAAGGGTGCATAGATCCTCTGACTCAGAAACCATTTTTTTATCATTTGATGATTGAGTGTCTTGTTGTTTATTTCTATCTTCACTCCACCTTATATATATATATATATATATATATATATATATATATATATATATATATAAACATAAATGTATATTTAAAATTATGTCTATATTAGGTTTGTTCATAATTAACCAGCAAAAAAATGTTTTTAACTGGAGATTCGGTCTCTAGTTTACACAAATGATTGCTGGGAACTTTTGCACATGCCTAATACAAAGTATTTGGAGCCTTCCATAATATTTATTTAATAAGTTCCCAATGCTTTCATTCACTCTAAATTTACACAGTTGAGCTGTTTTGATTTAAAAATTAACACTAAGAAAAAATTTTTTAAACATAGAATGCAAAATAAAACGACAAAGTAAATTTATGCATTAAATAAATATCTTGCAAGTTGTATAATACTTCTTTTCCTCTTGTATATCTCTATTCAAGTAAACAGTGATGTGTGCGACATGATAGTTGAATCTACTGAGATCTGAAGTTTGCAAAATCATATTATCAACTTTAAAATGTCACCTGATAAGTCTGACTTGATTATCAGTTTCTATAAAGAAGTTCTCCCACCTCCCCACCACCAGTTAGCCTGCCACTTGATAGTGACTCCCCAATAAATTCTAGTAAGTGAAGGTGACAAGGTGTAAAGAGACACTGATGGCATTGCCATTACTTGATAACTGATTAGATTTTCTCCTGAATGTCCTGCCATTTTTCCTTAGAAGATGTGGTGATCCACTGCCAAGTTGAATATTTCTCTTTTGTACATCTTTTAAAAAAAATCCAATTCTCGTCTTCTTTTTCTTTGCTTTTCAGGAAATTATATCTTTTTTAGTCTCATTTTGCTTTCAATATCAATCATTCTCTTAGCAAATTCAGACGCATTTGTTTTTTTTACCTTTTCATTCATGTTTTCTCCCTCTTAAAGGCATAAAAGAATACAAGAAATATGAAGAATTTGGAAAATTATACTTGTCTAATGATATAAGGAATTATTTAAGACTAATTTAAACCTTTAAGCTCATTTTTAAGTCATTTTCTATTTATAGAATTCATATAATTATTTGCAAATAAATAAAAAAAGTGGAACAACTGTTTATTAACCAAATTCCAACTAAGTTTAAAAATTGAAAGTTAGCTTTAGTTGTATTACTAACTCCAAATCAGCAGAAACCTAATCTTAAAGGATTTTTGAACATAGATGCTTACAATTTAAAAAATGTTTTTGTATTAAAGTATGGAAATGAAAAAGAAATAACATTGAAATAACAATTCATTTATTTTGTAAAATAATTTCATTTCTATATATAAAATATATAGTAACATATTTTACAAAATAAATTTATCTTTTCATGGATATTTTTATTTTATACAGCAAATAGTAATCTTTTAAGTTCTTTCCCTCTTTCAATGTTGTTGTGATTTACTTCTGAGCTTTGATAGCAAACACACAAAAATACAAAAATTGAATCATTATTACAGGGGTGAGTACAATCACAGAATCAACATTGAGTTGAAAACTAAGCAGGAAACAGAATTATTCTTCAAGTTAGAATAATTTAACAGTATAGCCTTCACAAAAATCTTGCTATGATGTGCTATTTTTGCTGTTATGATAATACACCTACAAACAGAAATTGCATGATTATAAGGAATCATTACTGCGTAATGGAAAAAATTGCTTGAAAGCTTAATAAGCATTACTCTATTAACATTGAGATATTGATAATAGGATAGTGGCAGACAGTAACCGATTTAGTTATATGATGAAGAAGAAATTGTCAATTTCTTGAGATTTTATTGAATAAATAAGTATTCTACAGCAGAATTTCTCAATTCATGGAATGCAATCCAATTTTGAATCATTACAGTAAAAATTTTGGGGTCACCACTATAATTACTTTATTTTCCAAAAATTTTGCTTAATGCTGAAAAAATAAATTTTTGTTGAAGCAGAAATTATGTGATCAGATATAATTTACTATTCTGTTTTGTTATATCTGCTGATATAAATAGAAGATTTTAATTAACAGAAAAAAACATTATGGTTGGTCTCAAGCAGCCCATAAATCCAAATTTTTCCTATTCATTTTTCTATACAATCTCACTTTTTTTTCTTGCTTTGATTAATTTCTTTCTACAATTTCACTGTTAAGAATATATAAAGATGGCACTTTGAACAATTTATTTAAAAAATTGGAGTTAGCAGAATTTTGGCTGAAAGTCTCCAAACAATATACAAAAACTGGTTAGAGTATAATCAAATATTTACTACCATTGAATGACCCCTATTAAATAGCTTGGATACTCAAAAACAAAATACAAAAATCATCTTTGAGTTGTGAAACTCATTCACATTTTAATAGGCCAAGGGACTGATAAACCCATGACAGTCAGTGTCAGATTTTCATATTAGTTTTGTTTTATTTAATAAATTGATTGAAAAACTTAAGTAACAGTAAATATATTTAATAAGAAAAAGGTGATAGAGGCCACCAATAATAAAAAAATTGAGAAATGCCATTCAGCAATACTTTTGTCTTTCAGGAAGAGAATCATAAACATTCAGAAGTTGGTAGGTTGTATTATATGCAGAGTTTTATCAAAATTATTTATTTTCTTTATTAATTCTCCAGATTCTGCAAGCTTTCTTTTTGGAATTATATATAAAATAGTTTACATATTGGAGGAGTTTGAAAGTATTTTCAGTGAATTTCTCTTTGTGTAAACCTTGAGAACTACAAATTCTAAGTAGAAACGGATAATTATCCTGGATTTTATTTTGTCATTGTCATATAAATAAAAGTTTATGAGATCATTTTTGTGAGTGAATTTTTGATGATTTGATGAAACTAAGCATATGATATAACCTACTAGCTCAATACCAACTACAATTGAAAATAATTTATTGAAACTTAATATAAAATTTGTTACAACTACTTCAAAAACAATAAGAGATTTAATTAATGCAAAACAAAATTATAACAACTTTAAACTTGAAGCAGGAATTCACAAAGCAGACTGTTACAAAAATCCTAGGAAATACATAATTGAAACACCTATAAATTGAAATAAATGATTATTTGAAAACAAAATTTTTTTCAGAACAATACAGTCAATGAATTAGTTGTTCATTATAATTCTGACTTTGTCTTAAAGAATGTAGTTGTAGGGATACAGAAGGTGATTATCTCCCTTTGTCCCTTTGGTGGAGATAAGTTACATGGGTCATGTGACATCACTTCATACAGTGACAAAAGTGGCCAGTCATTCAGCCAGTAAGCTTATTGATATCAAGAGACACATGTTTGTTTGTCCTGCTTAGGGTAGCCAGCTGCTAAATGATACAGCTTACAAATCCATGTAGCTGTTTCACTCTGAGAATATATTTTTCCCAAATAAAGAAAAAATCTCTGGCTGACAGTCCTCAATTTGGGAAAATACAAGACTCACTGTTTACTCTTCATGGAATATGTACTCACCTGGGACATAGTAAATGAATCTGCGCTGTTTGGATCTGGAGTCCTAAACGGTATCTCCAGAAACAGAAGAATCTCTGTATTATATGTAAGACCCATTCTTTTTGTTTCTCCTTACACTGCTCTCTGTGTAGATATATTTGATATATTATTCTCTGTGTGAGACACTTGTATATATAGTTTTGTGTATGTCTTAGTGGTATAAAAGTCTCTCTTTGGGCAAAGCATGTTTGTCATTCCTTTTCCTTTCAGCCATTCTGTTCTATCCATGAATTACAGTGTCATTATATCATCATGGATGTAACAATGGCCATTACAGGGCAAATACAACCTTTCTTCCATATATCTCTCCCATTATATAGTTTTAATTAAAGGGGATAGTAACTTATTATAGCAAAAGTGCATTGAAAGTGTACTAATTTCTGAATCTTCCTTGATAAATTTATATCCAGGATCAGAGATATACGTTTTTTCTTAATAAAACTACTAATATGTAGTTAAAGAGTCTTAGAAATGGCTAAAATAAAAGCAAAAATATGCAGGTCAAAAGTTGAAAATCTTTAGGTCATAGGTCACAAAACTTTCCATCACACACCGCAGTGAACCAGAAAACCACCTGTCCTGTCATTCAGGGTACTCTGCTTATATGTATATTGGAAAGTCAGTGATTGGTTGAGGGGGCATGGAAATTTGCATAATGTTCTCTACATAAAACAGGAAGTCACGCAAACCTTTCTTTTTTTTACTGGCAGGTAGATAATGCATGTGACACACTGTCACTTGTTTTGATGAGGTAAGTCATCATTTTCTTCACCACATATTACAATGTAGAACATTTAAGGCAATAGCTATACAAATAAAAACAAAAGGACTTGAAAGCTGAATTTGGTCAGCCAGGTTATGCATTTCAATATAATAGATGTCAAACATTGATAGTGCCACTAAGATGCAAGGGGCTACTGAGAGTGAAAGAGAATGAAAAGAGTTCAGAAGTAATTGGAAAACAAATCCTAAACAGGAAACAAGGGATAAACCTCTACTCCTGTTCAAAAGATTGAGGAGGAGTGTGAACCGGGAAGTAGCTGAACTGATGCTATATTTATGAGAAAAGTGATCAATATCAGGAATAGAGCATATATAAATATAAAAGTGGTCATGGTGGTTAATACTGAGTGGCAACAATCTTTTTCATGCTTGAATGATCTTCAGGCAAAAATACCTATATATATATATATATATATATATATATATATATATATATATATATATATATATATATAATTTATTCCCTTTCACCTGTTTTTTTTTTTTTATTTCTCTCAAACTTTTTATTTCCTACTTTCTCACTCACATAATAATATTAACTTTCTCACTCAAAAATATAATTAAAAAAATATAATGAAAAACTTGTGGCTTATGGCCATATCACATTGAAACATTGGTTCCCGTATGATCACCGAAGTTAAGTAATGTCAAGCCTGGTCAGTACCTAGATGACTGACCACTTGGGAATACCAGTTGCTATAAGCTTGGATGTATGGGTAGTGTAATGGATAATGAATTGGTTCATTGGAAAGCCAAGTTCCAATTTCCATTGGGTTTGCTATATTCACTTACAAACAATTACCATTAGGAAAGGTATGAATCCACTTCTTCTTGTCCAAGTTATGGGCTAATTAGTAATACTTGTATAATTAGTATTATTCTCTCCCCCAAAATTCTTACAATATAAAACTTTTTCTGGCTTTAAAACATTGATAAGCTTTAAAAAACAAATCAATCAATCACTCATCTGAAGATCAGGTAGTTACTACACTTTTATCTAAGGTAAAAAATCATAATGGTTATAAATTTAAATAGACTAATAATAGAGATTATACATTATCAATTGAGAGAGAGAGTGTGCATTTGTTTAAACAAAATGCATAACATATATAAAATACTTAGCTAACAAAATTAATCAGAAATTTTGCATTGCCATCAAAAATAAAAATCTGTATTTTCATTGATTTCCATTTTGGGAAATGATTGTATCATTTTTCAGAGGCAATTTCCATAGACTTATAAAGCTTGTTTGTTGTGACCTCTTCTGATTGGTTGATATAGATATTGGATAATAATAATCAAATATATATTTTAATTAATCTTAAAATGATTAGCACATTAAATTAAAACATCAATTTCAAGGAAAAGGGAACATTTCTGTGTTGCCAAGAATTATACAGATGTACTCAATAATTTGCATATTGAATATTAAAAAAACAAACTTGCCAAAAATTTTCATGCAGTAATAAATTTATTTTTTTAAAAATGTTATAAATTTTACAATGATACAAAAGTATTGCTGGCAGAAGACAAAGTGAGAGAAACATGAAAAACATTTAAATGAAGTTTAATTTTTAAAAAATCTGTTTACTTTGAACTGCAGTCATGCATCTTATAACCATGGTAACAATAGAAGCAACTAGAGCATAATGATGGTTTTAAATTCACAGTTGACCTTCTACACGAATTGCCTTACCACAGCTAAATAGTTCAGCCTAACCTACTATGACATCAAAAACCAAGTGGCAGGGGAGATGGATTCATGCCTCCCCTAAGGGCAATAGTATAAAAATGAATGCAAACAGCCTCAGTGCTGTTGAAATAGCTAAATGTGTAGAGGAGTAAAGTATGTAAAAAGTGAAGAAATGAAATAATCTTCAAACACAGTTCTACAAATTCAAAAAATTTTATTATTGAGTATAAAAATAATTTTTGTTTTCTTTTAAGCTGAAAGAAATAAGTTATAAAGTTTCTCACAAAATAATGTTTTATTGGTTAACAAATATATTTCCCAATTTTTAATATTGATTTTTAGGAGGGAAAAGATTGTTTAATTATTTTCCTGGATGTGAGCTTACATTTTTTTTGAGCGTATGACACAGAAATGATTGTCGGCTTTGAGCTGAGTCTGAAACAACCTCACTCAATACATGCTAGTGTGGAACTCTGAATTTGACCCTAATCCTAATTTTGCAACAAATTGAGGTAATATGTATCTGATCCTACTTTTGCACAGAATTGAGATCTTAGTTATACTACTTAAATCTTGATTTTTTTCTTCAATTTTTAAATGGGTTCTATAAATATAATCATGTGTACTATTCTAATAGTTTCTCTTCTTGCACTTCTCACCCATGGAACTCTCTCCTGGTTTCTTACTTCCCTGTCGCCTACAATCACCAAACATTTAAATGCAATGTCAATTGCCATCTTCTGTCTTCCTTTCTCTTGTTCTTTTATTGTACTTTCTCCTCACTAAAGTCTTTTCATTCTCTTTCACTCCCATTAACAGCTTGCATCTTGCTAGCATTATCTCCTTGCTTGGGATTAAATGATTAGAAAAAACACGCAATTTCTGTTTTTCATACTAGTAAGCATTAAATTAACCACAACTTCACAGTCATAAGCTCTTTAAGACATATATTTATTAATGTATGTGTATTTGTACATGTAGACACACATATATATATATCTTAAATGACAAATAGAAAAAAAAATCTATGCAATGCATTAGTCCTCTAAAAGGTCTTCATCAGAAGTTCCTTTAGAGAACAAAATGCATTACATTTTGTCATACAATTACCCATCATTGTTCTGATATGTAAAAAATTATATATCATATTCTTCTTTATATTAGGTAGGTTATTTACATACACTCTATTCTTGATATTGAGCTCTTTAACCCATAAATATATTATACTTTAGAACTATATTTTTATCATATATTGTCACAGTGTGGGATAGTCAGGAACAAAGGTGATGGAGAGAAAAAGAAAAAGAATTCAGATGATTTTGGCTAGATTGAGAAAAAAAAAATTCTCTCAAAAATATATTTTCAAAAATTTTGAGACTACCTGCATCTCTCGTTTCATGTGCTTGTGCAAGGTCAACAAAGCCCAGTCCAATAACATTCTAACACGTCACATAAAAACCTTTACAGTTTGTCATATTTTACTGTTTGTGAATATATAAAATTATACAAAATTATATATCGTTATATCATATATATATATATATATATATATATATATATATATATATATACATACTGTTCAGTTACAGGACTACCTCAAATTATTTAGAAGAAAAAGCTATGAGATCAATCACCAAAGTAATATACCAAGGCAAAGAAATAAATCCCAAATTTATAGTTGAAGAAATAACTGACAATGATTCTAAAATACTGGACACTTGTCTTTATTTCTGCTTCTCACACCTATAAACTTATTTAATGGAGCATATTTATGTATTAACTTTCAAAGCATCTACTGTTCTTTTCTCAGCATGGTGGCATTGCTCTGGTGGTGTCAACATGGAACATGTACAGATCTGGGAAATCCAACTGTCGAATTCATAGTACTCATAAAAAAATGATGAATTATTTATATATAGATTGGCTATTTTGGTGATGAGCAGTGTATCTCTGCACTTTTTAGTATCAAAACATGTATAAAAGCACATATCTGGATATCTTCTTCTATGTACCATGTCCATTCAGAATGTTGGTGATCATGGCTCTCCACAACTTCCTTTCCTTTGTAGCTCTGAGTAAGATTTATCTTTTTGCCATCTCCTAATTCCTATTCTGCCAATCATTTACATAAGCTCATTAGGTAGGTTATTTGCTGCTTTCCTCTGTCCTTCTTACTTTCAATCTGTCCTGTGAGTATCAAATTTTTCAAGCCCTCTTTCTTCTTTATATGTCCTAGAAACTTCAATTGTCTTTTTCTAGTTCTAAGTATAAGTGTCCTTTTTGTTACTATTTTCTCAAAAACTTCCTTGTTACTCATATGTTCAGACCATGGCATTCTCAGTATCCCCTGTAGAACCACATTTCTGTTGCCTCAAGTCTCTTCATCTGTAATGAGATTGTCTAACATTCATTGCCATATAGGAGGATTGATATTACATTACTGTTCAATACTTTTTTCACTGATTCTAACAATATTTTCCTGTTTCCTCATAATTCACTTAGCTTTTGAAAGGCATTTTTCACTATTCCAATGCTCAGTAAATATATAAGACAATTTGGAAGACTTCTACTTTGAATCCAGTGATCGACTCATATTAGAAGTTAATTATCTCAAATAGCCATTGGTGAACAGTAATTATCTGTATTTTTCCTTTATACTTATAGCTTTTGGAGAACAATGTTTATCTTCTGCTTTGATCTTTATCATCGTAACTCTTCTGAAGGAAGTTGATAGGCAGTTTTCTGCTCTGCCTGTAACACGGTTTAAATTGCATTTTCCTTCTTAGTGTGTAGAAATATATTTTTATAGATATGAGTTTCAGGGTTCATCTCAGGCTTACAGCCACATCACATTGAAACCCCAATTCCCTATAATTCACTGACTAACTTGTCATACAGTTCTTTTGTTTTTTTTATCTGAATAAGCCATCAACACATTATCATCTATGAATCCAATCCATCTGCCCACCCTTTTTGGGGCCCAATGCCTGTTAGTGTAAATAACATTCTGGATAATTTCTCTCCAGTAGGCTCGGCTTACAGCCATATCATGTCAAAACACCAGTTCTCATACGATCTCCAAAGTTAACCAATGTCAAGCCTAGATGGGTGAATGCTAGTGAATAACAGGTGCCGTAAGCTTGGGCGTGCAGGTGGTGTAATGGATAATTGCTTGGAATTGTTAATCAGAGAGCTGAGTTCCAATTTTCATTGGGTTTGTTACATTCACTTACATGCAAATACCCGTGGGAAAGATATGAATCCACCTCCTGCAAATCCAAGCTTACAGAACCTGATATTCCCAATTAGTCACCCATCTAGGCACTGACCAGGCTCAACATTGCTTAACTTTGGTGATTGTAAGAGAACTGGTGTTTCAACATGATATGGCTGTAAGTCAATGTGTCCTCTGAGTATTAAATGCTCCAAGCTTTCTTTCCTCATTATGTACACCAAAAATTTCAGCTGTCTCTTTCTGATTGTTGGCAACCATTTCTTTGTGGATCTTATTTATCTTAAAACTTCCTTGTTTCTCATATGTTATGACCATGGTATTCCCAACATTAAGCAGTAGAAACACTTTTCTGTTGCTTCAAATTTATTCTTCATCTGTAATGAAATTGTCCAGTATCCACCGTCTTATCAAAGATTAGATATTATATAGTAATCTGGCACTTTTTAAGGATATTTTGACCCCTCTAATACTTTTCCAGTAAAGCATTTTCACTGTTCCTATACACCTACAGATTTCTATGTAACAACTTTTCTCATCTCTTATCATACTTCCCAAATATTTGGATTGGTTTTAACATCTGATATGTAACTCATCTTAGGCTGTCCCCATTGCTCACACATTCTGTCTTCTTACAGTTGACAGTTAGTCCTTCTTTGCTTTCACTGACTACTTTGTTGTACAGTTCTTTTAGGTTTTTATATTTTTTTTTAAGCAAGTAAGGTAGGAGTGCCACTAGCATGGAGAGGGTTACAGAGAGTGAAAGTGAGAGAAAAAACTGGGTATAGTGGAGATTGACGAAAAGGCAACAGAAGATGGCAATTGACATTGCATTTAAATTTTTGAAGATTGTAGTTATCAGAGAAGCAAGTAAGAGAAAGGAAGTTCCACTGTTGGGAAGTGTGAGAAAAGAAACTGTTGGAGTAGAAGTGGCAGTTATATTTAATTGTTGTAACAGTAAAAGAATGGGACCTAGATGCCAATCTAGTAGCATGCTTAGATTCATGTAGCTGGGACACCAGAGTAAAAAAACTCATCAGAGCAGTTGCCATAAAAATATTTGTAGAAAAGACAGAGGGAAGCCACATCATAACTGTGAGCAAGTGACTGAAGTCAAGATGCCATGTCAGGACCGATTATATTGCAAATCTTTCTTTGGATTTTGTTGAGAATTTTGAGATGAACAGCAGGGGCACCAAACCAGATATAGAAACAGTATTCAATGCATATACAAATGTTAGATTTGTAGATGTGTAAGATGGACTCTGATGAGAAAAGCCTTTGCCATCAACACAATGTCACCTATGAATCCATCCATCTTTGGACCCAGTGCTTGTTGGTTTCAACAATATTCTGAATAATCGTTCTCGAGTAGATTTGACTTAACAGCCATATTATGTTGAAATACTAGTTCTCATACAATCACTGAACTTAAACAACATCAAGCCTGATCAATACCTAGATGGGTGACTGCTTGAGAATGCCAGATGCTGTAAGCTTGGGTGTGCAGGTGGTGCAATGGATAAAGGCTTGGAATTGAAAATCGGAGAGCTTAGTTCCAATTGTATTCAGGTTTGTTATATTCTACAAAGTGTCAATAAGCTGTAAAAAACAATCAATCAATCCAGTAGGCCCATCCATAGTTGTTGAAATTTATTGTATATTTGTTTCACAGACATAGTATCTGCACTCCATGTTTAACCATCTCTGTACAGCTTCAGGCAGCTGAGTTTTAAATTTAGAGTTATTCTTTCTTCTAGACTGGCTACCAACCATGGCAAGAGAGCCCACTCAGCACTGCTATTTAGCCCATAGCTAGCAAGAGAAGAAATGAATTCATACCTTTCCCAAGGTTATTTGTGTGAAAGTGAGTGCAGTAAACTTGGTCAGAATTCAAACTTTGCTTGCTGATTTCTTGCTCCAATTTGCTAACCTATGAATCATGTGTTGTTAAGGTTAGGTCATCTAACTACCAACTCCAAATACCAATTTCAAAGTATCAGCAGATAATGAGAGGTAAAACTATTTTGTGATTAACCATTTACTTCTGTCTCAGTAGTACGTCTGATCAGTTCAATAAGGTCAAATTGGCAGCTGATCTAAAAAATGACCTTCAGTCTGCTATTAACTGGGACAAAGGATGGCTTGTTAATTTTAACACTTCCAAAATTAAACTATTCTCTATTATTCATCTGAGAGACCCCTTTCTGCCTTCCATCAACATGGTTGATGCAAACCTCCAGGAGAGTGATTAGTTGTGACTTCTCAGGCTGACATAAAGTGGAAAGATTATATTGAATCTAATGCTAGGTCAGCTGCTAAGGGATTTGGTTCACTGTGCTATGCTTGATAATTTTTCTCTCCAGAATCTATCTTACATATTTATAAGTCTACCATTTATCAGTACTTAGAATATTGATTGCTCATATGGTCCAGTGCTCCTGCTATATATCTAGAGGTCCTTGATAAAATGCAAAGAAGAATTAGTAATATTAATGGTCCTGATCTGACATCTCATCTTCAGTCTTTTTCCCACTGCTGTAATGTTACCACCCTGTGCCTTTTCTATAAATTCTTTCATGATAATTGTTTGGGTTAACTCTTTGCTATGGTACCTATACTTTATGAATTTAAGTGCCGTACTAGACTGTTGATGAGGTCTCATCAATTTACAGTTGAGTTGGCTAGATGTAACTGTATGTTTTATGCTAACAATTTCTTTTCTTGCACTTTTTGCTTGTGGAACTCCCTTTCTGGTTTCATGCTTTCCAGTTAACTTTAATCATCAAAAATTTTAATACAATCTCAATAGCTATCTACTGCCCTCCAGATGACTCTTCTTTTGTTATCACACTTGAGTAATGTTTCTATTTTCTAATACTTTCACACCCTTAGTGTCTTGGTGGCTTTACTGCCTTGCTTAGGGTGAATGCGATTAAAACAAAAAGTAGTGTTTTCCAGATCAAAACTGTGATCAGAATAAGTGAGAAAGTGGTAAGCAAGAGTTATTCTGACTATTAACAATTGTAGAAATGTATAATGGAGCATGAGACTTAAAAGCAAATTCAATGAAATCCACTCAAGATAAATGCCTTTGTCAAATTGTGGTATTATTCCATAATCCAAAGTGTACAACATGATTTTCTGTGTCAAGGTGACATAATATATAACAAAAAAAGTCTCATGCATAGAAGCATCATTATTAGGGTTGACAGATTAGTAATGCAGGACACTCTTAAAATCTCTCTCGCCTATATATATATATATATATATATATATATATATATATATATATATATATATATATATATAAAAGAGAAAGGAGAAGCTGCAAATGTTTTTTTGGGATTTTTTTTATATATTATACTTTATTTTTCATATTTTTTGCTACACTGCAGTCCAAGAAGAATTTGAATTACTACCACACACAAAAGACAATAGCTGAACATATGAAAACATAAGATAAAATTAATTCCTTTAAATATGTGGAAATAATCATTCTTTGCCTGATGAAAGTCACAAGACCTGAAATACATGTAGCAAAAGATTTGGAAAATAAAGTATAATATATAAAAAAATCTATATTATAACCAAAATCATTTGTGGCGTCTCTTTCATGCACAATGCAATCTTCATGTACTAGGTATAAATCTCAGCACCTGAAGATTGTGCTGCACGTGAAACTCCAAGTCATCCTATCAGTGATGGATAATATGTATTATATATATATGTGTGTGTGTGTGTATATATACACACACACACACACACATGCCTACACACTCAGACCAATATATTATATAAAAGGAGTTAAAACATAAAGCAATGATTTTAATGAGGAAAATAAAAGTAAAATCATTTGAAAATTATTTAATACAAGCTTAGAAAAGGAAATTACTGTAAAAGTGAAATCATTTGAAAATATTTAATACAGACAACAGAGAAATAAGCATGTCAGTTTTTTTGTGCAAACTTCTAGCAACATTAGTTTTCTTGTTACATTTGGGTTATTTTCATCAAGAGAATCTGAGAAAAGAATAATTACTTATAAAGTTACAGCCAAAAACCGTGAGAAAGTAGTAATAATAAAAATATATTTTTATTACAAAATTTGAAAATGAACTAAATATTTAGCATGTTCCTGAAAGGTCAGTATGGGACAGGGGATAAAATTATCCAAGACCAGTAGACCAGTATATGTCCAGTATATAAGGAACGTCTGGCAACCCTAATCACTGTATATATTGATAATTAAAGCTACTGCTAAGAGTTACAAAAGTACATATTGCATCTCATTACAAGAACAATTGGTTTGTTAAAATGAACATTTTAAATTCAGAATACTACACATTTTTGCAGGACAAAAATTGAGAGCATTTCCTTGCTTGTAGTTGTGGAGTACCAGAACACCCACACAAGATGAATAGCATGCTCTCTTAGTGATAGAGTGGACGTTGAACAGAACTGAGGTGAAGTTCATGATTAACTGTTTTTCCAATAGACTGTGTTAATATTTTGCCTCCATAAAGAAACATGGAGGATTTTAAAGAAGCAATGTTGAAAACAGTTGGAGGAACAACAACATTTGGACCAGAAATGCTTAGAGAAACAAAATGAATGGTTAAAAAAAATGTTTGAATTGTTAGTGTTAAAAAAAGGAAAAAGTGCAAGGCAATGGAAATTCTTTTTCTCAGGATTCAGTAATAAATTCAATTCTGAGGTGGAGGTAATGTTTGCAGCATATTTTCACTGTTATGAAGAGGTCTTTCAAAAAGATTGCACCACATGGTCAGATGAAAAGAAAATACGTCTGTTGCTCAGAAAATTTGGTCCAAGTGAACACAAAAAGTATGTAAATTACCTACTTCCAAGAAAGACCTGGGGAAGTGTCTTTTGAGGAAACTATCTTAATTCTGGAAAAAAATTTCTGGGGAGAGAAGTTCTTTTTTCAACACAAGATGTCAATATTTAAACCTCAAAAAGAAAAGTAGGGAAGATTACTCAACTTTTGCTAGGATTGTCATTAGAGAGTGTGAGAAGTTTAAGCTGAAAAAACGTACTTCTAATATGTTTAAGTGCTTGATTTTTGTACAAGGACTGATGGCTCCAGAGGATGCTGAGTTCAGAATAAGAATTTTGTCTGAATTAGTTGCAGAAGAATGTGAA